TGTCACTCCGAGAGAAAATTTCTCCTCTGGGTCGCTCCCACTCCAGATGGGGATCTCCCCGACAAGGAGAGAGGAGAGTGGTGGAGCTGGCTAGCTCACCTGTTAAAGAAACCATAGTTCCTTCTTTATAGGCAAAAACTCCACATGCCTGCTGTGTCACCTACAGCCTGATGCCAAAGGCGTAAGAGAAGAGGAAGGTGGAGAGGTAGGAAAGCAAAGGCAGCACAGAGCAGTGGAAATTTGTTTTCCTGCTGACGTGTGTGAATGTTGATGGCAAGCCCCTGAGCAAGGCTCTGGGAATGACGTGATATTATGCATGCTGGTAAACTCGCACATGAACAGGGTGCTGGTGACCACAGTCTGATGTGTTTGTGTGCTGGACTTTCTGGTGTAAGTCAGTGTGTTTCTGCATATGGGTCCATGAATTGCACCACCCAAGGGTGCTGAACTGGAGCATCTTAAGAACCAGCTCTCTGGGGCTGGGGAGATGGCTCAGTGGAATAAGCGCTTCCCTAGCAAGCGCAAGGGTCTGAGTTCAATCCCTGGTTCTGCAAAAAAAAAAAAAAAAAAAAAAAGAACCAGCTCTCTGCTGCTTTCCCTCATTTTCATATGATGTTCTTGGACATCTCAGCCAGGGTAAATACCTGGCTAAAGGCCCATGACAGGTGACCTTCAGCTTAATCATGACATTAGGAGAATCCCCAGGGCTGTTTTTAAATGACCTATGAGGCATGCTCTTTGGGATAGAAAGCACTTTGTTGCAGCTTGTCCTAGAGTAATCTCAACAGGACTGGGCCACCCAAGTCTACCAAAAAAGGACCTATCTCTCTAGACTCGTGAGGGGGTATTGTGAGGAGCACAGAAGCTCCCTTCAGTAGTCTGACTAAGCAAATGATCCAGATGAAAAAGTGACTCTACTTTTTGTCTTCTGACCACATCTGGGACTGAGACAGAGTGACGTCTTCCAGAGCACTGAAGAAGTAGGCTCAGAACCACACGGGGAGGGATCCAGGCAGGTGTGGTGGGTAGGCCAGGGAGGGCTGACTGTTCGAGTGAGTTGCCCTAGAGTTACTGCCTATGGCAAAGCTAAAGTTAGGAGAATCTAGGAAGTGTAGTGATAATCATCTTTTTAAAAATGTATTTAGTACAAGATCTACAGGGTCTCTCTACATAGATCGGACTCGTAGTGATTCTCCTGTTTTCAGCCACCCGAGTGCTGGGATTATGGTTGCACATCACCACACCCAGTATTAATAGCCATCTCAGTGTGCCCCAGGGGCAGGGCTGGCACAGCACGCTGGGGATAGAACCCCAGCCCCTGCGCTCTGCCTAAGCAGGCGCTTTAATCTGCTGAGCTATCCGACCAGTCCTGTAGTAAGAATCTTGCCTATTATACATATCATCCTACTTCTCCGTGTTGTTGTTCCTAATCCTTTTAGTATGGAGTGCTTGCGTTTCTGAACAGAAGGATGTAGGCACAAGAGAATAAACTTGTTCCTTCCTATGATGCAATTCCTTTTTTTTTTTTTTACAATATACATCCAACGTGTAGGGCGATCACCTGAGTGTAATATCAGAGACCGTCTGGCTACGTGACTGATGCTGTTGACTAAATCTAATTCATTCATTCATCCCTGAGCTGCAGGAAATCAATTATCTCTTCCCTGGAAATGCACTGACAGATGATGCTGATCTGTCGGCACATCACAATTGCCTGGGGAGCATCACCTCACACCAATTAATTACATCGGAATTTCTTCCTGGCTGTTTGGGAACATTCCAGAAATAGCTGCCATAGACAAT